CACCCCTGGCACCCCCAGCCATCCCTCCCCTGTCACCCTGGCACCCCATCACCCGGCCCTCCCTCCCCTGGCACCCCTGTCACCCCGGCACCCCGTCACCCTGCGGTGCCTCACCTGCAGGTTGTGGTCGTGCCCGCACAGGTAGGCGCTGACGCGGTGGCGCCGCAGCAGCGGGCGCAGCAGGCGCAGCAGGCAGGGCGTGGGGCCGTGCTTGCCCACGGACCAGAGCGGGTAGTGCCCGGCCACCAGCACGAAGCGCTCGGCGGCCGCCGCCTCCAGCTGCGCCCGCAGCCAGCGGAGCTGCGCCGCCGCCGCCGCCGCGTCCCGCGGCCCCGCCGGGCCCCGCCCGAAATCGTCGCCGCGGCCGCAGAGCAGAACCGAGTCGAGCACCAGCAGCCGCGCCGAGGCGTTGGAGCCGGGCAGGTGCAGCCGCAGGCTGTAGTAGGGGTGGGGGAAGTGCCTGCGGGGTTGGGGACATTTGGGGACACCTGGGGACAGTGTGGGGACACTTGGGGACAGTGTGGAGACAATGTGGGGACAGCCCAGTACAAGGCACAGGCTGTAGTAGGGGTGGGGGAAGTGCCTATGGGGGGTTGGGGACATTTGGGGACACCTGGGGACAGTGTGGGGACAGCCCGGCACAAGGCACAGGTGGGGGAAATGCCTGCGGGGGTTGGGGACATTTGGGGACACCTGGGGACAGTGTGGGGACAGCCCGGCACAAGGCACAGGCTGTAGTAGGGGTGGGGGAAATGCCTGCGGGGGTTTGGGGACATTTGGGGACACCTGGGGACAGTGTGGGGACACCTGGGGACACCTCGGGATACCAGGGGACATTTGGGGACAGCCCGGCACAAGGCACAGGTGGACAAAGTGCCTGCGGGGTTGGGGACATTTGGGGGACACCTGGGGACAGTGTGGGGACACTTGGGGACACCTCGGGATACCAGGGGACGGTGTGGGGACAGCCCAGCACAAGGCACAGGCTGTAGTAGGGGTGGGGGAAGTGCCTGCGGGGTTTGGGGACATTTGGGGACATTTGGGGATACCTCGGGATACCAGGGGACATTTGGGGACAGCCCGGCACAAGGCACAGGCTGTAGTAGGGGTGGGGGAAGTGCCTGCGGGGTTTGGGGACATTTGGGGACACTTGGGGACAGTGTGGGGACACCTGGGGACAGCCCAGCACTGGCACAGGCCAGGGGAAAGGTCTGTGGGACACGGGGACATCGTGAGGACAAGAGGGGACACGGTGGGGGATGCACCAAGGGGGCTTGGGGACAGCCTGGGGACACCCTCAGGGGCTTGGGGACAGTCTGGGGACAGTCTGAGGGGGCCTGGGGACAGTCTGAGGGGCTTGGGGACAGCCTGAGGGGCTTGGGGACAATCTGGGGACACGCCAGCACATGGCACAGGGTGTGGTAGGGCTGGGGACAGAGCCCGCAGGACGTGAGGGCACTTGGGGACATGCGGGGACATGCGGGGACATGTGGGGACATGTGGGGACATGTGGGGACATGCGGGGACATGTGGGGACATGCCCAGCAGGGCTGGGGACACCCCACAGGGGCTTAGGGACAGGCTGGGGACACCGTGGGGACTTGGGGACACCATGGGGACACCCTGAGGGGACCTGGGGACACCATGGGGACACCTGGGGACAGGGATGGAGGGGGGACACGGTGGGGACACCATGAGAGGACTCAGGGACACGGTGGGGACACCCCCAGGAGACTTGGGGACACCCCAGAGGCAGGGACAGGGCATGGGAAGTGCCGGTGGGACACGGGGACATGAGAGGAGGCCCCGAGGGGACACCGGGGGACCCCTGGGGACAGCGGGGGACACCAGGGGACCTTCGGGGACCCTTGGAGACACCCGGGGACCCTTGGGGACGCTCGGGGACAGCGGGGGACCCTCAGGGACCCTCGGGGACAGCGGGGGACCCTTGGGGATGCTTGGGGACCCTCAGGGACCCTTGGGGACCCCAGGGACACCGGGGGACCCTTGGGGACGCTCGGAGACCCTTGGGGACACCGGGGGACGCTCGGGGACGCTTGGGGACAGTGGGGGACTCTTGGGGACAGCAGGGGACCCTTGGGGACGCTGGGGGACCCTCGGGGACCCTCGGTGACAGCGGGGGACCCTCGGGGATGCTCGGGGACCCTCAGGGACCCTCGAGGACCCTTGGGGACACTGGGGGACCCTCGGGGATGCTTGGGGACACTGGGGGACCTTCAGGGACCCTCTGGGACACCGGGGACCCTTGGGGACACTCGGTGACACCGGGGGACCCTTGGGGACCCTTGGGGACACCGGGGGATGATTGGGGACGCTTGGGGACAGCAGGGGACCCTCGGTGACACTGGGGCACCCTTGGGGACCCTCGGGGACCGCGGCGGCCGTACCAGCGCGGGGAGCGGTGGCTGTAGCGCAGCTGCGCGGTGACGTTGCCAGCGTGGTCGTGGTTCCCGGCCATCACGTACCAGGGGACACCGCGGAGCCCCGGGGACACGAAGACACTCTCGAAGGTGTCCTGGGGACAGCGGGGACGTGAGGGGACAACGGGGACATGAGGGGACAGTGGGGACGTGGGGGACAACGGGGACATGAGGGGACAGTGGGGACGTGGGGGACAACAGGGACATGGGGGACGATGGGGACACAGAGGGGGCAATGGGGACACACTAGGGACAATGGGGACATGGGGGGTGATGGGGACATTAGGGACAATGGGGACATGAGGGGGCAATGGGGACACACTAGGGATGATGGGGACACTGGGGACATTGGGGACAGTGGGGACAATGGGGGGACAACGGGGATATGAGGGGACACTGGGGACACAGGGGGCAATGGGGGAATGGGAGACAATGGGGACACACTGGGGACAGTGGGGACATGGGGGGACAATGGGGACATGGGGGGGACACTGGGAACACACTGGGGACACAGGGGGATGATGGCAGCTGTCCCTCCGGTGTCAGGGTGTCCCGGTGTCGGGGTGTCCCAGTGTCGGGATGTCCCGGTGTCAGGGTGTCTCAGGGTCGGGGTGTACCGGTGTCGGGGTGTCCCGGTGTCGGGGTGTCCCAGTGTCGGGGTGTCCTGGTTTCAGGGTGTCCCCAGGGTCAGGGTGTCCCCAGGGTCAGGGTGTCCCAGGGTTGAGGTGTCCCGGTTTCGGGGTGTCCTGGGGTCGGGCTGTCCTGGGGTCGGGCTGTCCTGGTATTGGGGCGTCCTGGTTTCGGGGTGTCCCGGTATTGGGGTGTCCCGATTTCGGGTGTCGCAATGTCGGGCTGTCCCAGTGTCAGGGTGTCCCAGTGTCGGGCTGTCCTGGTGTCAGGCTGTACCCAGGGTCGGGGTGTCCCGGGGTCGGGGTGTCCCGGGTCAGGGTGTCCCGGGGTCGGGGTGTCCCGGTATTGGGGTGTCCCGGTGTCGGGCTATCCCGGTATTGGGGTGTCCCGGTTTAGAGGTGTCCCGGTTTCGGGGTGTCACGGGGTCGGGGTGTCCCGGTATTGGGGTGTCCCGGGTCAGGGTGTCCCGGGGTCGGGGCATCCCGGTGTCGGGGTGTCCCGCTGTGGGGTGTCGCGGTGTCACCTGGAAGCGCGGGTCCCACTCGTCGCGCACCCCCGAGAAGTAGAAGTTGTCGCCCAGGGCCAGCACGAAGTCGCCGCCCAGCGCGGCCGCCGCCCGGCCCATGGCCGCGGCCGTGGCCGCCTGGCGCGGGGTGACAAAGGGGGGCTCGGGCAGCCCCCCCCAGTCGCCCAGGGCCAGGAAGGTCAGCGCGTCCCCGTCACCCCCCACGCGTGACACCGCGGGCACCAGCAGCGACAGCCACAGCAGCGCCAGCATCTGCGGGGGGACACGGGGG